AGTTGACTTAAAAATCAATTTTTCTGTTAAATTAGCTAAAGCTGTAAATTTATACATACGGTAACAGGGAAAAGGAGAGGTCATATGAGACTGGAAAAATTGGATTTCCATGTGAGGACTTTTGGAAAGTCCTTTGTGGACCATTGCTGTCCTCTAGTGGCACTTGGTGTCATTGCGCCCAGCAGGAGCCGCTCTGCCCTGGGTGCAGCGTGGGTGGGTTTCCACAGCAGGCTGCTGCTCAGCAGGAGATGATGTGGTCACCTCGCTGGTCACTGTCAGAGCCACAGGCCCTCCCCGAGTCCAGCAGGACCCATGCCCACATGCAGCAGACGATCAGCCTTTGTAAGAGATACTTTAAAAAGGTTACACGTATTTCAGTTCTTCATCCTAATTTCTTTCCATTTTGAAAATTATGTGTAGAAACCCTAGCATGGAATTTGTCACAGTGTAGCTTTTATGATAGCATTTTACACTAATGGCAAAGTGGCTTTCCATTCTTGGTGAAAAGTAGAACAGTTACTAATCAGTTCACATTCTCAGTTGTGAATGTGTAGTTACCAAATCAGTTTCACACTTATGCTATTAATGTCAAGGAATTTATATTAATAAGAAATTTCATGAGATTCTTAAAATACACACAAAATGCGTAAAGAACAATAGTCTAAGAGTGTCATTTGGACCTTCCAACTCAGCTCAACATTTTTATTTAACATTATCACCAACAGTGATTTTATATATATTTATATATTATATATTATGTATATTTATATGTAATGTTATTAATATAAATTTAAAAGTCACCTAGTTCTGGCCTTGAAAGCATAATGGGTGTCACACTCTTGTGCTGTGAAAAAGAAAAACTGTAAAACTTGAAAATATACATGAGACAGTTGTTTTTAGCTGTTGGACAGCAGGCAGTACAAGGCAGCCATTCTTGCTAGAAGGAAATATCAGAAGTGGGCTCTGCATTCTGCCTCAGGGAGCTTCCCATGCTGCAGCCTGGGGAGTGGGCCTCAGATGGAAGAGTCGTGGGGAGAAACAGGTCAGGGCTTGGGGCTGCAGCAGCTGAGGTGTCTAGGACGTGACGTGGGCATGTGGGGCAGGGCCCTCGTTCTGTGGAGCCACCCATGAGTCTGTGGCCTGCCTGGTGGTAAACGATGTGTGCGCAGGACTAGATTCCAGGCCTGGCAGAAAACAGGTATGGAGGGGTCTGTAAGCTGACAAGATGCCAGAGGCCATCCTGTGCTAAGAGAAGTTGGAGTTATGACCAGCTCACATCGGGGGGTACCTCACTGAACTCCAGGCATTCAGAAAGACACACCTTAGCAATGGGGTGAGTACAGACTTGCCCCAACAAAGCCTAAACCACATCTCAGTAGGATGAAGCTGAGCCACCAGTAATTAACTGCCTGTCAGAACAAAACCCAACACTCTTTAAAGGAAGTCGACACAGTCCACACTTTGAGCAGTTGAGCCCTCACAATGTCCAGCACAAAGTCAGAAATTACTAGATGTGCACAAAAGCAAGAAAATGTGACTTATAACCAGGATGACAAAAAACAGCCGATGGACCCAGCTGTGGTGTATGTTGACATGAGCAGACAAGGAGTCGAAAACAGCTGCTGTCAATATAATCACAGATTTTCAATGGAAATAACTAGTGTACAGACAGGAATTTCAATAAAGAATGGAACCTATAATAAAGTAACTGAATGGAATTCCTAGAAATGAAAAACAAAGTGTCTGAAATGGAAATGCCACTGGAAGAGCGTATCATCAGGCTGGACACTGAAGAATGATCAGTAACTTCGAATCCAGGCCAGCAGACTCTGAAAACCGAAGCACAAGTAGAAAAACGGAGAAACTAAATGAACAGAGCTTTCCGTCTGCGACCAGTGGGGCCATAGAGCTTTCATCTGTGACCGGGGCGCCATAGCAGGGGGTCTAACCTGAGTGCAACTGCAGTCTCAGGAAGACAGAGGCAGCCGGGGGAGGCCAAAACACACACATTTGAAAACATAATGGCTGAAAATTTTACAAGTTGAATTAAAAATATCAACCTGGAGATCCAAGACTTTCAAGGAACCCCAAGTGGGATAAACGCAAAGAGAACCACGCCTGGCTCCATCGTGGGGGAATTGTAGTCACATTGCCGAAGACCAAAGACCGGGAGAAGATTCTGGAAAGAAGTTAGCGTGGGGATGGATCTGTGCATACAGGAAAACCAGGGCAAGAATTGCTGCTGGCTTCTCATCAGAGACAATGCAAACTGGAATACAAAGGGTGACGGTTTTTAAGTGTTGAAAAAAAAACCTGTCAATCTAGAATTCTATATCCGCCAGCAATAGTCCTCAGAAATGAAGACAGAATCAATACATTTTAAGACTAATAAAAGCTAAGAGGATCCATTCCCAGCCAATCCTTAGAAGAGGACATGCTAGAGGAGATGAAAAACATGAAAAATGGTAAATTTGGGGGTAAACATAAAAGACTTTTTTCCCTTTCAGTTCTTAAATTCTTCAAGAAACACTTGACCTTTTAAAGCAAAAATAAGATCCTATTGTGGGATTTTTCATAATATAGAGGCAAGATGCAGGGCAGTGGAAACACACGGGACGGGCTGAGAGGCAGCGATTCCGAGGGCCCTCCTGCCGCACGTGACGTGGAGTAGGACTCAGGTGAGGTAGACGTGGGTGGTGAAGGATGCATACTGCAATCCCCAGAGCAAGTGCTAAGAAATGGAATGAAGCAAAGAGATATAACGAAAAATCTAATAGAGGATATGAATTGGGATACTAAAAATATTTAGTTCATGCAAAAAAAAAGGGAGGAAAGGAACAAAGAACATGTAAGTCAAAAGGAAAGCAAGGAGCAAATGGTGGATTTGACCCTGGTCATAACAGTCATTCCATTAAATGTAAACGAACCAGCACTGCAGTTAAAATGCAGTTTATCCCACAGAACATAGGAGCAAGACCCAATGATCAACTATGTACAGGAGACCCTCTTCAAATGTAAAGACACAGATTAAAGGCAAAAAGACGGGAGAGAGGCACTGTGCAAGCGCCAACCACGAGAAAGCTGGTGTGGCGGTTCAACGGCCCAGGCACACTATCCGAGGTAGACCTTCCTCATCATAAAGGATTAAATCTTCAAGAAGACATAAAAATGCTAAATGTGTGTTCACCTCATAGCAGAGCTTGAAAATACAGGAAGTGAAACATGGATCCATCTACGGTTCTAGCTGTAGATTTTAACATTCCTCTTTCAGCAGCTGACGGAGCAAAGCGGGGGGAAGTCACTGAGGCTACAGATGGAAGGAGCAGACCTCACTCACTGGCATTTATGGAACACTCAACAACTGCCTAACACAGATCAAAATGTTTAGGACGGCAGTACCCAGGAAACGGAACCCTCCTTCCTGCCCTGCCTAGGTCGCCATGCCCGCCTTAGAAGGTGGTTTCAGCTTCACACCACCGGCTTGCTTTGGGCACTACGGGTCCATGCAGGCCAAGGGGCAGCGCCTTCCTCTTTTGACTCCTTCGGGACAGAGGGGCAGAAGCAGCTGTCTGCTCCTGCAAGCAGGTCCCTGGCTCTGGACCCTGGTCCATGAAGGGAGTCTACCCGTGAACCAGCATCTTTCTCAGAGAATAAATCCGGTGCCTCCTCTGAGCTGAGCCGCAAAGGCGTGCTCCCTGGCCATGGCGGGAATCCTGCCTTACTGTGTGTGGTGTTGCAGCCCCAGCCACGGCAGCACTGGAGCAGCGAATGTCCAGGGATGAGGAGCCGTGGAGCTGATGCTGCTGTTGACGCCCAGGAGTGTGCACCCAGCCAAGCTCTGGGTGCAGAGTGGAACTTCTGAGGCCAGACTTCCATGTGGGCCCGGGCAGCAGGGCCCGTAGAGGGGAGAGGCCCCCAAAGAGGGGCTGGTTCTGTGGATCTGTTGCTGCACAAGCCCCTCTAAAGATTAGTCATTAAAAAAACAGTTAGTGATTCTGCGCCATGGTTCTGGGGACTGACTGGACACAGCCAGTGAGTTTTGAGTTGGGGTCTCTCATAAGGTTACTGTGAGAGTCAGCTGGGGCGACAGTCTTGAGGGTCCACTGGCTGGATGTCCCCACAGCCCACTCCCACCATTGCCACGTGGCTGCCAGCTCCGTGGTTGAGAGCATTCCCAGGGTGGCTGTCTCCAGCGCCCAGGCCACACGTGGGCACTCCAGGCCTCAGAGGACCAGGGCCTTGCATCCCTGCAGTCTGGCGAGTCCCTGAGACTGGCTCAGATTCGGGGAGGGCGGAGCCCTGTGCACATGTGCTCATGGGCCAGGAGGTGCCCGTCTTAAAATACCACCTGTGCAGTCCACAGGTCAGTGACCATGACCCAGGGAGGGAGGATCCAAGGTGGGCCACAGGGGTCTCCCTCCTCACTGGCCCTGTGTCCTGCAGCGAGGAGTCCCGGCTGGTGGCAGAGATGCTGTGCACGGCCACGGGCATCCAGGGCAGGAGCATCATGGAGAACCTGAAGGGCCGGAAGCAGCTGCGGCTGGTGGCAGCCAAGGCCTTCACGGAGAGCGCCAGGTGCATGGCTCTAAAGGGGCTGGGGTGGTGCTGTGGGGGCTGTGTGCATCCCCTGCTGTGCCAGACCCCTGTGCTCACCAAGGCTGTGGTCTGTCCTGTGGGCCCAAGGGAGGGCTCCTGCCAGGGAGGGCGAGGTGGACAGTGTGGCCAGTTCAGGGCACAGTCTTCAAGGAGGTGCGGTGGCCCCCTCTTGCCCTTGTACCTGCCTGGGCTAATACAGCCTGACCTTGGTGGGGGTCTGACCCTGCGCTGCCCAGAAAGGCCCACTGGGGAGGATGCAGCAGGGACGCCTGAGCAAGTCACATGCCCGGGAGGGAGCAAGCGCGTGGATGGGCCCTGGGCGCCCGACCTTCCTGTCCCTCCTGGTCCAGAAGCTCCAGGTGGGCCCAGGTGGAGCCACTGTGTCATGACCTGCCGTCTTTCAGGTTTGGAGGCATCGCGGGCAGCAGCACCCTGGTGATGCTGGCTGCACGGCACTACTGGAACGCCTGGCTCCCACTCCTGTCCTCAGCTGTCCACAGGAAGAAGGCCAAGGGTGCCCTGAAGAGGATCATTGGCATCATCAACAAGACAGAGGCCAGAAAGCAGGTGCGCCAGCCCTGGAGGGGGCTCCTGACTCCCACTGAGGCCTCTAGCGGGTCTTCCAGAAAGGACTGGAGAGACTCCCAAAGAAAGACCCCACAGGCCTCCCAGAGGGTGCACCAGCACCAGCCGAGGAGGGGAGGGGACTAAGGGGGGTCCCCAAGTGCCAGCACTGCGGGGCCCCCTGCTGGACTCGGTGCTCAGCCCTGACCTCCCCCAGCAGCATACATGCACCGAGGGGCTCTCAGAACTGGAGAGACACAGCAGTGGGTAGAGAGCGAGGCCAACACAGTCCCTTCCTTAAGTGGCTTGGTTTCTAGGCAGGGAGGACAGGCCCCACCTGCCGTGAGAGAGGGTGGCCTGGAGGAACAGCAAGCAGAGGGCAGGGCAGGGGGCAGGGGCTGAGCCACAGGTGCCTCTGGAGGCTTAAGGCAGAGTGGGGTGGCAGGGAGTAGAGCCCCCAAGGCCCAGGGGATGGGGCAACCCAGGGAGGATGGTTGCAGGAGAGGGACCATGTGGATCCAAGAGTGCACCTCCTTCTAGGGTCGTTGGAGGGAGGCTGGGCTTGGGTCCTGGAGTGGTCCTGCAGGCCTCTCCCCAAGAGCAGGAGCCTGGCCAGCTTCTCCCTGGGCACAGATTGGCAGGACAAGCCTTGGCCTTGTGGACTGGGCTTCCTGAGTAGGCTCTGGAGTTGGTGAGGGCTTCGTGCTCCTGGCTCACAGGTCTGTGGATGCAGCTCCCTGCTGGGAGATGGGGAGGCAACCCCTCCTCCTGGGAAGAGGCTGAGACTCTTGGGTTGGGATCAGTCTTTAGACCAGGGCTGAGCCAGTCCAGCCCACTCTGAGCTCTCTTCTGGCCTCAGCCGTAACCGGGAATCAGGAGTCAGCCACAGAGAACCCACAAAACGGAGCCCTTCTAAGAGGAGCAGCCGCATAACCCGAAGCTCCAGTGGGAGGAGGAGGACAGGGGAGTGGGGCACAAGACAGCAGGCACAGGCAGTGGGCGCCGCCACAGAAGCCACTGTGCAGATCCTCAGATGCATGCCCAAGGCAGCTTCTTGGCCTGACTTTGAAAAGGCTGTGTTGGGGCCTCTGGGCTGTCCAGCCCACCCCAGCCTCTCCCTATGCTGGCCTCCTCCGGGGCAGTGCCTCCTCATCCAGTATGGTCTAGGCAAAGGGACCCTCCTGGACTGGCTCCCCCAGGAAGCCTGGGTCTGAGCTCTGCAGAACTGCCTCTGGAGCCAGACTGGAGAGTACAGAGGCAAGCCAAGGCTGCTCCACCTGGCCTGCCAACCTGCCAACCCACATGTGGCCATCCTGTGGGCAAGATGCAGCTTCCTGGCCCCAGGGCTTAGCCTTCCACTGGCGCTGCCCAGCACATTTTCTGGCTGCCCAGGAAGACCAGAGTAGATTTTTACTACTTGTGACCAAGAATCCTGGCTGACCCAGATATGTGGTTCCTACAAACCTGCAGTGTCTTGCAGGGCCCCGTGAAGGGAGGGCCTGCAGATGGTGAGGTCCATAACAGACGGAGATTCATGGCCAGAGAGCCTCAGGACGGAGCCTGGATATTAATCCCTTAGCAGATACCTGATGTGCAAGTATTTTCTCCCATTCTGTGGGTTAACTTTTCACTCATTTGATCATGCCATTTGATGTACAAATGTTCCTAATTTTTAAGAGGTCCAATTTATCTATTTTTTTCTTTTGTTGCCTATATCTTTAGTGTCCTATCCCTGGTCATTGCTACATCCAATACCATGAGGATTTTCTCCATTATTTTCTTCTGAGAATTTTGTAGCTTTAGCTCTTAAGTTTAGATCTTTGATCCATTTGAGTTAATTTTTGCATATGATATTAGGTAAAGGTTCAACATCATTCTTTTGCATGTGGATATCCAGTTTTTCCAGCACCACTTGAAGAGACTGTGCTTTCCCTAGTGAATGGTCTTGGCACTGTTGCTGAAAATAATTTGACCAGAAATGCAAGCGTTTATTTTGGGGCTCTCTATTCTATTTCACTGGCCTATATGGTATCATTTTGCCAATACTATGCTGTTTGAGTCACTGTAGCTTTGTAATGTGTTTCCAAGTTGGGAAGCATGGGTCCTCCAACTTTGTTGTTTTTCAAGATTGTTTTAGCTCTTTGGGACCCCTTGCAATTCCATATGAATTTGAGGATCAGTTTTTTAATTCCATATGAATGTGAGGATCACTTTTTTAAATTATATATTTTTTAAAAAGACTATTGCAACCCATAGAGATTGTGTTGAATACTGCTTTGGGTAGTATTGACATTTTAACAATGTTAAGGCTTCCTATCCGTGAACATGGGCTATCTTTTCATTTATTTAGATCTTTAATTTCTTTCAGCAACCTTTTGTAGTTTTTAGCATACAAGTCTTTCACCTCTTTAGTTAGATTTATTACTAAGTATTTAATTTTTTAAGGTGCTGTTATAAACAGGAATGCTTTCTGTCTTAGCTTGGGCTGCCATAACAAAATACCATAGACTGGATGGCTTAATTTATTTCTCAAAGTCTGAACCTGGAAGTCTGAGATCGGGGAGCCAGCGTGGCTGGGTTCTGGTGAGGAACATCTTCCTGGCCATGAACGCCTGGCTGCCTTCTCACCGTGTCTTTATGTGGCACACACACCCTGGCTGCCTTCTCGCTGTGTCTTCATCTGGCACACACAGAGCCTGGCTGCCTGCTTGCCGTGTCTCATGGCACACAGAGCCTGGCTGCCTTCTCACCATGTCTTCATGTGGCACACAGAAGGAGACAGCAAGCTCTCTGGTGTCTTTTCTGAAAGTGCACTAACTTTATCGTGAGGACCCCACTCTCGTGACCTTATCTAACCTCGGTTACCTCCCAGAGGCCCTGTCTCCAAATACCACCACAGTAGGGGTTAGAGTCTCGGGATATGAATTTTGGGGGCACACAGCTCAGTCTGTAGAACTTTCTTCCTAATTTCCTTTTTGGAGTTTTCATTCCTGGTGCATAAAAACACAGCTGATTGTTGTGTGTTGATCTTGTGCCCTGCAACTTTTCTGAATTCATTAATTGACTCTAATGCTTTCTTGTGGATTTGTAAGAATTTTCTCTGCATAGGATCATGTCATCTGTGAATAGAGATAGTTTTACCTCTTCTTTTCCAATGTAGCACACACAGTCTGGCTGCCTTCTCACCGTGTTCTTCCTTATCCAGTAGCTCTGGTCAGAGCCTCCGGTGGAATAGCAGCAGTGGAAGCAGTGACCTTGTCTTGTTCCTGGTCTTAGTGAGAGAGCTTCAGCCTCACCACTGCATGTGGCGTGAGCTGTGGGTTTTTCCATAAGGACCCTTCATCATGTTGACGAATTTTCTATTTCTAGTTTTCTGAGAGTTTTTTGTCATGAAATAGTGTTGGGTCTTGCCAGATGCCTTTTCTCCATCCGTTGAGCTGGTCATGTGGTTTTTCTCCTTTGCTCTGTTAATGCTGAATACTGTGCATCACGCTGACAGATCTGCCCACAGTGACCGCCCTTGCACCTCTCACAGATCCCACTTGGTCATTATGAGTCATCTTTTTAATATGCTGTTGGATTTCATTTGCTAATCTTTTGGGGAGGATTTTTGCATCTATGTTCATAAGGGATACTGGTCTATAACTTTCTTTTCTGGTGATGTCTTTATCTGGATTTGATAACAGAGTAATGCTGGCCTCACAGAGTGAACCCAGGAGTGTTTCTTTGTCTTTACATTTTTGAAGAGTTAATAAGGATTGTTGCTAATGCTTCTTTAAATGTTTGATGGGAGTCACTGATGAAGCCATCTAGTCCAGGATTTTTTTTTATTAAGAGGCTTTTGATTACTAATTTAATCTCTTATTATAAGTCTGTTGAGATTTTCTGTTTCTTCCTGAGTCAGTCTGGGTGTGTTTGGAGGGATTTGTTCATTTTTTCTAGATTATCTAATTTGTTGGTGTGCAAATGTTCATAGGATTTTCTTATAATCCTTTTTATCTCCCTGAGGTCGGTAGTAATGTCTCCACTTGCATTACTTATTTTAGTTATTTGAATAGTCTTCCTTTTTTTTTTTTTTTTTTTTTTTTTGTCAGTTAGCTAAAGGCTTCTCAATTTTGTTGATCTTTTTAAAGAACTAACTTTTAAACAATAGACTTTCTTTATTGTTTTTCTGTTATCTTTTTTTGTCTGTGCTCTGATCTCTATTATTTCCTTCCTTCTGCTAGTGTTTTAGTTCCTTATGATGTAAAGTTGGATTATTGATTTGAGATCCTTCTTTAATACAGCATTTGCCGCGGTGAACTCCCTCTGAGACTGGCTCTCACTGCCTCCCTAAGTTTTTTCCAATGTGCTTTTCATCACATTGATTTAGAGCCGTAAAACCAACTTAGATGTTTCATGTCGTTGAAAAAGCTCTCAATTACGTTAGGGGAGCAGCTGCAGACTTTTTGTGACTTAGTATTTCAGAAATTTTGCTGCAATATCTGTAATTAGATAGAGCCGAATGGTTAGCAGCAGACGTATTCGAGTCACACACCACCGAAGTACGGTACCAGCGGCAAACCCACAGGGGCTGCAGCAACCTCAAAGTGTGTTACCAGCGGCAAATCTGCAGCGGGCTGCAGCAACCTCAGTTCTTGCCTCCTCAGAAGAGAGACTTCAACTGAGGAGCCTAAAGCAGAAGGAGAGACAGAGGCACGTCTCAGAGCAGGAGTGAGTTTATCAGAGAGCTTCAGAACAGGAAGAAAGGGAAGGAAAGCACACTGGGAAGAGGCCGAGCGGAGACCGGAGAGGTCACGTGCATGGCTCACCTTTGGCTTGGGGTCTCCCACTGTTGTGGGACTTTTGCTCAGTTCAGCTAAAGACGGGGTCCTTGTCACACTGCCACAAAAGATGAGGCTTGTAGACAATTTGAAGGGTGAGAAAGGCAGGGTTTTATTGGGTAGAAAGGAAGAAAAGGGGAAACAGAGGCTCTTAGTGAAGCGAGAGAGTGTTTCCCGCCAGTGCACTTCCCACCTCACCGAATGGATCCCAGGTTCACCCGGGAGGAGGAGGGGCCGGGCTCCTCCCCGCTGCAAATGGCGTGAGCCTCTGTGTCTCCCCCGCAGTGCGCATTCCTCCCAGTGAGCAGGCCGGTCGGAGAGTCCCTGGGGGCCCCTTCCCACCTGGCTGTCTCAATACATTGGCCGACTTCCAGGGTCTTGCGTGATTTCTCCCCAGACGCTTCCCTGGCGGTGGGCTGTCTGCATGCACGGTGGCTGCCCGCACTTGGGAGGGCCGCACGCCCAGGGTACTGACTGGAGTTTTGCACGTGCTCACTTGAGGTGGTCCCTTACCAGTCGCGTGTTCCTAGAGGGAGGTCATAGGCCAGGGAAGCTCCGCCATTTTGCCTCGTAGTGTGTGTGCTTGAGCCCGCTCGCCCAACTCCTGAGATCTCATCGGGAAGCTGCTCATCACCAGTTTCAGGTTTTTTCTGTCTCTTGGGAGGTGGCCGTTCCCTGGTGCTGGCTGAGACCAATTATTATTTTAGAGAGACGGTTAACAGCTGCCTGACCGTCACCTGAGAGCTGCCTGAAGTTCCTGGTGTGGGGCGGGGGCCTCTCCTGCCCCGCTCATGTTTGACTAGCTACCTACTATAACGAAATGAAAAGCAAAACGATGTCAACCTAAAAGGAAGAAGCTGAGGCAAAATTGGTATAAGTAGAGAGTTTGCCTGGGCCAAGCTTGAAGGTTGTCATCCGGAAGCATCGATTCAAGAGGTCCTGAACATGCATTCCAATTAGAGGCAGTTCCAAGTGGGTTTTTAAAGGGAAGTAAGAGGCAGTTCCTGAGTTGTTTGCCAAGAATTTACATTAAAATAACTTAAGCTATTAATTGGCTGTATATTGTTAAGCTTTAGAATGTGGGCGATAGTGGCCGGTACAACATTGTCAGGTTAATTTACAGTTGCTTATGGCAATAGCAAGCAGTTTAAGGAGACTCAGGGGGGAGTTTCTTAGCTCGTGGTGAAAGACTGTCTTGCAACTTTCAAATATACGTGTCATTTACTTGCGTTACTTTAGGAGAAAGAGAAGACGCTGCTTCTGCACCAGTGGCCCACAGCTGACTTCCAAGGCGGTGGGACGACCGAAGGATATTTTCTTCCAGGTTTGTAGCAGGACAGACAGACCCATGAGCTCCAGGTACAAGGAAAGGGAAGGACTTGAGCCCAATTTTAAACATGTGTTGCTTTTAAATTCCCGTGCCCTGACATGAAGCCACCTGGCAATAACTCCAGATAATGTCCGTTCAGCATTTGACGCGTGACAGGCACTTGAGTGCTCTTCAGGAATGAGCTCATGAAATTCCTTTTCAATAGACAAAGAAGCCAGAGCCGGGACCTTCTGACTGTCCATGAAAAAAGTCAAACTCTGTGAACTATTTGAAGGGATTGATGCTGGGCCACATGTGAGGAGCGTGACGCGTGACCTAGCCCCAGGAGGTCCTGAGAACATGGGCCCACGGTCGTTGGTTTACAGCTTCGTTTCGTACATTTTAGGGGAACAGGAGTTACAGGCAGAGACATCAAAATACGTGTCTGGTGCCCATTGGTTTGGTCCAGAAGGTGGGACAACTCAGAGGGGAGGCTTCCAGGTCACTGGCAGATTCAAAGACTTCCTGATTGACAATTTGTTGAAAGAGTTATTCTCTAAAGACCTGGAATCGATAGAAAGGAATGTCCAGGTTTAGATGAGGAGTTGTGGAGACCAGGGTTTTTATCTTGCAGATGCAGCCTCCAGGCTTCCGAGCTCTTATCAGACAAAAAGGCACCAGACTCTTGGTTAATTCTCCCCTGGCTCAGGGAACAGCCCTGGAGAGGGAAAAGGGGATTCTCAACAGGATGTAGTTTTTCCCCCGCAAGAGACAGCTGCGCGGGCCCCACTTCAAAGTGTGTTGAGGAAAGATATTTGGGTATAAAATACCTGGATCTCTTTCAGGCCTGCGATCTGTTGTGTGATGCTTTGGTAGAGTCAGACTGGAACTTGGTATCTTACTGCTACAGAGCATCCACTCCGTCAGCCCTCAGAGCTCTGTTTTCATGTGGATGCTGGTCCATTGTGCCTGGCTCCAAAGGCAGAGGGGATGTGATGAGACCTGTCCACCCTTGCCCCCTACCACCCCTGACCCCACCAAACTAGTTTTTCAGGTACACTTCGGAAGGCCCTGGGCCAAGAGGAGGGTCCATTCAGTCGGCTGGGGGGCTTACAGTGTTATTTTTGGTTTCGTGAACCTTGTCCAGGGCCACACACCCCTGAGTCCAGAGTGGACACTGTCACCCCTGGTCGTGGCTGCCGTGAAGTCTGGCCTCTCAGCTGTGCTGACAGATAAATCACATTTTTCTACCTCCACAAAAAACGTGGACACAAAACAGCTGCAAAACAAACATACAAAAACACATACTGACTTTAGAACAATAGAATCATATTAGAATACCAATTCATGTTTATAGAAAAAAAATTGTCTGCTAAAAAAGTTATCCCTGTTAAGAGTCCTAATGTGTATTTGGGAAATCTTTAAATGCTGTGGAATAGAAAAGTGGAACCTACCTTGAGCATTTAGAGTCTATTTAGAGAGGCAAAGTTGATTTAAAATAATAAACAAAAGTGTGGCCACGTGTAATTACTAAGTTGAGTACTAACCCCAGCAGTGTGTGTGGCTTGCTGGTCCTGCAAGCACGAGCCCGACACACACAGCAAGTCCTTCCACTGAGAGGCTAGGCTGCAGCAGAGACAGGGTTAATCCTGGGGTGGCTGAGCCGGAGATGGGGATGCAGCCGCAGACCCACCTCCCTGAGGAGTTTGGGGGTCTTGAGGGTTTTGGAGAGGACGGAAGTGTGGAGATGGCTGACTGCCGGAAGAGTGCAGGGTCTTGGGAAGGCATTCCTGGGCCGGTCCCTATCGCGCTCCTCTGTGGGGGACTCCACGCTGGTCGCTGGCATTCAGGGTCTGAGAAACATCCTAAGTGATCCTTCAACCAAAGCCTTAGGATTCTTACGTCAGAGACCCCATCTGCAGGAGCGATGGGGTCCAGGCAACTTTTAACAACAAGGACGTGGCCGAGGCACAGCCTGGTTACTGCTCAGTTATAACTACATTCTGTCCACAACTGGGCCTGTGATTCTTGTCAGCCCTGGGGGGTGTTTCACGAGGACAGAGATGTGGATCAGAGCACCAGGACCCACCCTGCTGGCTTCGTGCACTTGGGGGCACTGACGGCCCACGGGGCTCCCCTCCCAGCAAGCAGGCGTTTTCTGCGTGTGCCCCGAAGGCGGACACCTTTGCCTCTGCGTGTCACATGGCTCTGCTGCCCGTGCGGAGACTCGGGGGCTGTTCCCGTGCTGCGGGCGCCAAGTGTGTGGACTCCCAAGCGCGCACATGGCGCTGTGTCCTCGGCTGCGGGGGAGCTTTCCGTGGAACTCCTGAAAGGACCCCGAGTCCTGCTCTCCGATCTTTAATACGTGGAAACACAGGGCTGTGTCTGTGAATGCAGAATTCTCCAAGCAGATGGAGAGTGAGAGGCAGCAACCAGCAAGCAGACAAGACAGCTGGAGGGGCCACGCAGGTCCACAGCTCACATCAGCCCTGCGGGGCATGCGCCGGCCTCGGCACCTGAGAAGCCACGGTTCCACCTCAGGGGCACTGTGATGGGCAGCTTAGTCCGGGAGGTCCGAGGGCGCCTTTGATGAGGTATCGGGCGGCTCCAAGGACACCCCTTCTTCTCCCTCCCAGGGGCTGAGGACGACCTGACGCTCCGTGCTGCGCTCTATGGCCTGCTCTTCCACAGCCACGCCGACCAGGACGACTGGGAGGGTGGCCTCAAGGTGCTGGACGAGGCCGTGCAGGTGCTGCCAAGGACAGCCCACCGCCTGTGAGTGCTCCAGACACTGCATCCCCACCGGGGGAGTGCTCCCCCACCAGAGTGTGCTCCCCCCACCAGGTGCTGCACCCCTCCCTGGAGTGTGCTCCCCCCACCGCCTGCAGAACCCCCACCCGGAGTGTGCTCCCCTCACCCCCTGCTGCACCCCGCCTGGAGTGTGCTCCCGCCATTGCCTGCTGCACCCCCGCCTGGCGTGTGCTCCCCCCACCCCCTGCTGCACCCCCGCCTGGCGTGTGCTCCCCCCACCCCCTGCTGCACCCCCGCCTGGCGTGTGCTCCCCTGCTCCTCGCTGCCCCCCTCTGCCTGGGCCTACGCACGTTCCCACTTGTGCTGGAAGACTTGACTTCCCCAGGAGAATTCAACACAGGGAGAGCGGGGACTGAAAACCCCACGCAGCCCCCAGACCCCCACTCCCCTGGACTCTGCTTTGCTTTGTCTTTTTAAGCAGGAAGTGGAGGAATAAGTCCGGGCCGCATCACACACGTTGAAAATTCTGCCACCCGATCCCGACGTTGGTTTCTCACCTTCCCTTTCTTTAGCTTGATCTTCAAGCACATGGTCATCGTGAAGGCCAAGCTCGGGCAGAATTTCTCGATGGAAATACAGAAATTCAAGGCCGAGAGTGAGGACTACTTGGCGCGCATGTGGCACCGCCTGGCCCTGAACTCGCTGAGCGTGTCTGGAGAGCTGGCCTGCTACAACAGCGCCATCCAGGCCTTGCAGGTGCGAAGCCCTGAGTGTGGGTGCACGTGGTAAAATGTGTCGTTTAGCAAAAGGGAGAACCGTGTGGACAGAAGCTCAGCCGGGACCTGGCGTGGGCGGCACGTAGAGCAGCCACGGCTGATGGTGCAGAGAATGCGCCGTGCGGCCCCAGGCACTCCTCTGGCCGACCAGTCAGGGATGATGGCTGGAGCTGGTTTCAGTGGTCCCTTTCCAGCATGGAGGGGTCGTGGTCAGGTCCTTGTACCTGAGCAGGGTGAGGGGGCCAGAGGGTGATGCCCCAGGTAGAAGCGCCCTGGAGGCCCAGGGGCCCAGATGGGCGGGTGGCTGCAGAGGGGAGCAGGGCTCTGCAGGGCCCTGGGATGTGGGCGTTCTGGGGAAGTTGGCGTCTCTTCCCCACCCCCAGGAAGGCGAGACGGGTGTTCCCCTCGATGCACTTGGGGTGGACTCGGGAGGAGGTGGGCGCTTTGGCGTTGATTTGATGCCTCTGCTTGTCAGAAGCAAGGGCCATGTGGTGCGTACCCGAGAACTTCATCTCGGGGATGAAAAGGCATCCCAGGCCCCTGGTGTGAAAGGCATGAACCTTTCAACATTAGTGAAGATCTTAAAAGGCTTTTCTGTTACACAGGCTGTTTCTCCGGCTCAGAGCAATCCTCCCCCGAGGTCTTTGGATTGCTCTGGTGTCCAGGCAGCCCTTAGTGTTGGGAACTGAGGATGACTGGGGGTCTCTGACGGTGCTTTGTGAGTGCCAGCTCAGGGCTCAGGGCAGTCAAGGCAGACGCCCGGGTACCACCATGGGGGAGCCACAGGGAGCCACTGCGCCTCTCTCCGGGGAGCCAGAGGCCACGTCGTTCCTCGGCAGTTGCCCTGCTGGGGTTGGTGAGGATCAGGCGAGGACCTGGCCTCCTCCAGGGAAAGCAGGAAGGGCCTGAGGAGGGGAGGCTGCGGGGCGACTGGGGAAGGCAGGACCCAGCCGAGCCAGGCTGGGTGTCGGGGCAGAAGCCCTTGAAAGTGTTTTCTGTCTTCACTTACCCGAGTCCTTCCTCCAGTTGTCTGTTTTTGTTAAAGGTACAATGTGATGTTTTTAGTGAATTCTCAGAGTTATATAATCATCACCCACACACAATTTTAGAAGGTTTCATCACCTCCCAGAAACCCTGCATCCATCAGCACTCACTCCCCATCCTTCCCTACCCTGCATCCATCAGCACTCACTCCCCCTCCTTCCCTACCTCCATCAGCCCCAGCAAGCTGCGGACCTGGACATTTTCTGTAAACAGAGCCAAGCATTACGTGGTCCTTCATTCAGCATGACATCGCCCAGGGCCATCCCCATCATTCCCATTTAGGGCTGAGTCATATTCCGTTCCGTGTCTCACAGTCCACGCCCGGCTGTTTGTTGTTTCCCATTATCTGCCTGCTGTGATGAAAGGTGCGGTCAGCATTTGCTCCCGAGTTCTGGCGTGGCCCCTCCTCGTCCCCTGGGGGCACAGCCCAGCCCTGGAGTTGCTGAGCACACGGTGGCCCTGTGTGGAGCCATGAGATGAAGTGCCAGATCGTCTCCCACAGCGGCCTCACAGGGTTGCCTTCCCACCTGCCGGCTGTGAGCTGCGGTTTCTCCACACGCTCACCAGCTCTCGATGTCCGACGGTTCTGGCTGTGCCGGTGGGTGTGAAGGGGGTGTCTCCTCGTGTTTGGTTTGCCTGCATTTTCCCAGCCACTCATGATGGGGTGCATATTCCCACGTGCTCATGGGCCATTTGTAGGTGGTTGGAGAAGTGTTCATTGCAGTCCTTTGCCCGTTTTTAATCTGGTAGTTTGGTTTTCGTTGCCTTATAGGAGCTCATGGTGTATTGTGGATGCAGGTTCTTTAGCAGGAGCATCATCTGCAAACCCTTTCTCATTCTGTGAGCTGCTTTTTCAACCACTTCTTCACTTCCTGGATGGCATGATTTGTGGCACAAACATGTTTTAAATTGTGATGAAATTCTAGTTGTCTGTTTCTTGTTTTGTTGCTTGTGTTTCTGGCGTTGTATCTGCAAAACTGTTGCATAACCCAAGGTCTTGAAGATTTGTTCCCGTTTTCTTCTGAGTTTTATAGTTGTAGCTGTTACATTTATGAGTTATACGGTGTGAGGCAGGGTCCCCGGCACTCCTCAGCCTGTGGACGCCGGTGGCCCCACACTGCTGTTGAGAAGATGACCCGCTCTCCCTTGAACCTCCCCATCAGGGCCAAGGCCCTCCCCAATGTCCGTAGCTTTTGTGGGAGCCACCGCCAGCCTCCACAGCTGCTCCCTTCCTTCCCCATCCATGGCATCCTTCACGTGGCTCCCAGGCCCCACCACCTCACCAGTTCCCCATCCTTCTCCCCTTCCCACCTCTTCATGACAGAGGAGGCCCTGGGCTAAGGGCAGGACCTTGGCCATCTGATCTCACCCCACGTCCTGAACTAAACATGGCTGCCGCCCATTTTCCCCACAAGCAATTCTCTAGCCCAGACCCTGCCCCTAGACCTGTGAATCCTGCTGCCTGCCTGGCCCCGCCCTGGGGCCAGCGTCTCACCCAAAACCAAACGCCTGCTTTTCCCACCGTTCTTCCTCTTGCCTTTCCCCTCGGGATGTTGCAGCTCCATCCTCCAGTGGCTGGACTCACACCCAACACACACAACAAACCCACGCCTTGCACCTAGACCCACAGACACACGCGACATAACAGCCCACAGCTGCAACCCAGACACACCCCACAGGCCACAACTTCACACCTGTAACTTCACACACTTCTCATGTACACCATTCACTCCCAATACCCCCAAACACAACTCACACCCCACATCCCACACACACCCCACATCCCACATTCAACACACACCCCACATCCCACACACACACACACCCCAACACACCCCACATCCCACACACACACACACCCCAACACACCCCACATCCCAC